GTGGACGGAGGGAGGAGATGGCACCAGCCTCCAGGGGCGCAGAGCCGCGCGAGGGAAGATAGGGAGCCAGACGAGCAGACCCACACAGAACAAGGGACGTGGGACAGGGCGAAAGGACACAGAATCCAGTGCTGACTACGACTCTGGAGCAAGGAGGGGTTCCCGGTGCCAAAACACAGCGGTGGCGAAGGCTGGACCAAGGGCTTGAAAGGGCTCCGCTTCCAGGGAGGAGACTAACGGAGGTTCCGGGAACTGCCGCGGGGCAGCGGGAGGCAGTGACCGGCAGGCGTGCTGGTGGGACCGCTGCAGAGTGAGGGCTGGCTTTCCAGACCCGTTGAGAAGAGGAGGTGGCTCCACAGCGGGGACTGGGGTCTGGCAGTTGAGGCTTAGGCCGGGTGCATTAGAGCAGCAAACTCTCCACCTCAGTCCCCACAGCTTTCGAATTTGCAAGACCCTTGGGGGCTGCGAGGAGGAGAAACGACTGAGGCCCCAGGAGCAGCTGCAGAGGAGCCTGGGCACCTGGAGGGAGAGAGGGAGGAGAGGAGGGCCCAGGGCAAGATTGGGGATCAACTCCCAGGGAGGGTCTCTCTCCAGGCCTCAGAGCAATTTCCGCAGTTTTCTGTCTTCATACATGAAAAATTCTGGAGTATAACATGCTGTTTCAAACACTAACCCAAACTTGCCCACACAGAACATATTTTTTCCACCAACAGTTGGTTTGCTGTAAATGTACTCAGGTTCAGAAATTGGGTAGGAGGTCAAGGTGCCCACGTTGGTCCAGTTTGAAAGACTTTTCACTCTCAGGAGCACGCAGCACACTCCTCTTACAGCCTCAGACAAAGACTGACAATAAGGGGGCAGCGGCTCCAGGAGAGCAAAAGGACCTCACGACACCCGGTTTTCTTTTCAAGTGACAGGGCTTCTTCTTGCTGTAAAGGCTGATAGTCACACACTCTGCTTTGCAGGAAGAGACTACAGAGCCAGAGCAGGCCCGCTGCACAGTTCCTGGTCAGTCCCAGGGGAGGTGTCCCCAGTGAATCCTTGTTTCACTCACACCCTATTCCC